GAACCTTTGCTTCACTGCCCTACCCTGCTCCATCTTCCTTTTCCTGGATGTTTTAAGGTAATGTGAAAGAAGTCTGTGGGACGAGGCAAGAGCCAGGTCAGCTAGGAGACTGCAGAAAGCTGCCTGCACAGCCAGAGGCAGCTGTGCCAGCAGCTGTGCCAGCAGCTGTGCCAGCACTCTCCTCCCAGGAGCTGGCACAAGGGCCTCTACGGCTGCAGGAACGAGCCAAAACCACAAGCCACACGGTAATATGTCACCTTGGCTGTCACCTGCCTGGCAGATACTTTTCAAAACTAGCCTTCAGTTTGCTGCTCACTGTAAAGAGACATCAGCCAACATATCAATGCAATTATTAGCAATTCCTGGGTTTTGCACATCTTTATTACTAAAATAAGGGGTTTGTTTTGGAAACTGGGATGTCTAAAACTGACAGTAACTCACTGTACACATGAATTTAACATACCTGCATTGTCCCATATGAACCTTACACCAGAGCACACCACAAACTTCAGCACCAACTGGGCACCACAGTCATGTGTTACCAATTAATGCCTTGTGTAGTCAGGGGAAATTTAATTTACATCAGTCAAGGCTGAAAGAAGAAGCATGGCTCAGAAGAAACATTCAGCTAAAAGACATGAACTTGTAACTTAATACTCCTTTAAAACTTTCTGTACAAAAGTTTGAATTTCGCCACCTTTCAGGTTATTCTCCTATGAAAGACATAAAAGGGCAACATTGTTAAAATTGCACAGTAGCAGTAAGGAATGACTTGTGTGACATTTGAATATTCATTTTTGTCACCACGTTGCTCCTCCTCCACCTGTACATTTCACCCAAATGTAGTGAAAAAGAGAAAGGAAGGCTGCCATTAGCAATGGGAGAGCTGGGTTCCTGCTTCCCAGATAACACCAAGAACACTTTCAGCCACTGCCTGTCAAAGCTCTTTCATGCTTTGTTCTTTGTAAAATATCTGTTTCTTATATTAGATAAGCTGAAGCCAAAATTCCAAGCCTGTCTGCTCAGTGTGTACCATATTACATGTATTGCACTCTGATGGCCTACAACCTAGTATGGCAAAAAATTCAGCTTTTAACTTACATAGCAGAGGTCTGTAACTCTTCCTGCTACGTTAATTTATCTGTTTTGTTTTTTTCTTTCTAGAACATCACTCTGATATGATTCACAACCAAGGTTCAGCCCTAACCTGCATGTCTGTGTGTTGTAAGTGCTCTCAAACGTGCAGCATGTGCACCATCACAAACTTCAGCCTCAAGGACTTCCCTACTGCTCTGACAGCCTCAAGAAACATGATAAAAACACAGCTCTGCCCATACACTGGGTTGGTTTGTGGGATTGTTCTCCTACTTCTTTCAGAAACAATTTTTAGGGAAAGAATGCTTTTAAATGTAATATTATTGTAAATCCTTAAATGCTATTTTCACATAATTTGGACATTTGGATATTCTATCTCTGGGCAACCTGTTCCAGGGCCTCACCACCTTCACAGGGAAGAATTTCTTCCTAATATCTAAACCTGCCCTCTCTCAGTTTAAAGCCCTTCCCCACTATCCTGTCACTCCATATTCTTGCAAACACTCTCTCTCCATCATTCTTCTCCCACAAAATAGCCAATTTCCTTCAAAGAATGCAACACATTGATGTGTTCCTCTGCTCTCTCTCAACTTTTCCCCATATTTTAATTTTTTTGGATGTTTTGACCTGTCCCCAGTCACAGAAGATTTAAACTGGATCTGCCCAAATACACTTATAAATACAGATGCCATATGCCAGAAACAACTCTTCACAAGTTCAGCATGCTCAATTTAAGTTGAACACTGATTTGAAGAGATAACACACAAAAGAACAGGATAATTTTTTCCTCGCTATAGTACTAACCATCAACTTGAATTACAATATGCTGAAAAGAAACAGCACTTAAAACAGCCTTGCAAAGGCCAAAACCTTTGGAGAAATGAGCACAAAGATGACAGAAAATAAAGGCACTGCACCCGAAGAGGTGGCAGCAGCTCAAGTGACCAGCCATGGGAGGGAAAGCAACACAGACAGAACAATAATTCACCACAGCAGCCAGCAAAGGTCCAGAATAATGGGGGGGCAGTAGAAATGGGGTAGCAGCAACAGGAAAATGGAATTTGCCTGCTAGGAATGACTTGGGATGCCACCAACAGAGGAAAACTTACTGCAAGCAGTTCTGTCCACAACCTGCTCCCAGGGTTCCAAGGACAACTCTTCCTGGCGTTCGTAGAGATGGCAGCTCCTCAGGCAGGTCCTGCTGGTCACCTCTCACTGGTGGGGAAAACAAATTTTAAGAAGTCAGGGCAACGTCTCCTTGCACCTCCCATCATTTCAAACCCCCAGACAAGGACCCAACCTGACTGCTCTCAGTTAAAATTTGCACTGTCTGCCTACAAGTGTAAATTCCTCCTTCCCCTTGTAACCTGTGATCTCACTGCCAGTGAGGAAGAGAAATGCTAACATTTTCTACAGAGGTTCAAACCGGTGCAGCCTCTTGTGGGAGGTATCAAAGATCAAATATTTCGAGATAATTATGTTCCTGAAGGGAAACTGATTTTTTTCAGTAATTTTGCTAAAAAAAAAAACCCATCTGAAGAATCTGCCTCAAAAGCTCCTGAACTCTGTACAAAACATAACAGCCACCCCTGATCTTTCCCACGCTGCACAACTTGGGGTGTTACCTGTGTAGAGGCAGCTTCAAAGGGGGACCATGGGATGTCCTAAGGAAAGAGTTACCAACTGCAAGCACTTTCAGCTCCTGAAAATCAGAGAAAGGTGAAGGGCCAAAAATCATCAAGGAATCACTTGCATTAAGCCTATCCCAGGTGCTGTCTCTGGGCATGATGCAGCAAATAGCACCTCCTCTCTTTGGCCTTGGTCATACCAAAGAGAAACAGAATTAGGAAACAGTACTACAAACAGGCAAGAGAGGCTACCAACAATGAATTAAATTGATTACATCCCTAACACAGCACCTTTTCCTAATTTCTTAAAAGCGTTTTGTCAAGCCAGAGTTTTTCATGATTTAAAATGATTTCAAAGGGACAAAGCTGAGCCACTCTAAGGCAATAAAGGAGAACTGAGACATCCACAAGAAACTCATCCTCTTCAGCAACACAGTAAAGAGCACACATCTTTCTTCAAAATTTTATTTTAATTTAAATTATGGGGCCAGCCAGATTTTTTTTTGGATACGAAACGCATTTTCCTCAGGAGAAATGAAATGCTACCACGGAAATAGAATTACAATTGTATACATCTCTTACTTAAAAAAAAAAAAAAAAAAAAAAAGGCCAAACGAAAAAACCACTCGCATTTAAATACCTTTTAGTAATACCCTTAAGCCTTCAAGCAGATAAGAAACCACTTCCAGAACAAGTTTTTTTTAATACGAAGAGCACGTCAAAGGAGCTTTAATTTAAATACAACTTCTTTTCGAAAGCCAACATTCAAATGTTTCCACATATTAAAAAAGTCACCATAGTCGTTGATTCCAAGGCGTAATATAGAGTAACCTCTACCCCAGTCCAAATGTTTTCACTTCTTGACATATGTAAATCTTTAGCACGTCTACATCTTTCTAAAGAGGAAGCCTTGCATGTTTATGGTGAGTAACTTTGCAAATAATGTTTTCCTCCACTCAGCTATGATAAACCAAAATAGAGTAGACTGTTAGTACTGAACTACAATACCACCTCAATGCCTGTGATTTTCAGGAACAGTAAGCTGTTTCCTTTCCTGTAGGCAAAATGATTTGGTTTGCAAAGGAAATGTTAAGAACCTTTCGAAAGACCAATTATAATGTTAAGAGCAATTTTAAACCACTGAGTGAAAACACTCAGTTTTCTGGAGCTCTCGGGTTTCCCTTGTGAAGGCTTTCAAATCAGCTTAAACGTCACTGATTGCAAAGGATTTTCAGTGGGAAGAGGACAGGAAGCAACAAACATTTTCTAGAGCATTCACAATCACTCAGTCATGCAGAATTTGAACTTTCAGACCCCAATCCGTAAGTTTGCTTGGTTGTGATCTTAGAGTTACTATATGATGGATAGATACAATTTTAATAACATCATTTAGCTATATTTAGTAGATTCCTTTTGTATGGTCACAGTAACAAAAACATGGTGCAAAATCAGTTGGGTTTTCTGGTTTGTTTTTTTATACTGATAGTTTGCAGCATGAAAGAACAAAATCAACGAAATTAAATCATTTTGTTATCCTAGGACACCTATGAAATAGTTTCTTGAAGTTGGAGGGAATTAAATCATTCACTTACACGACTATTGTAGTGAGTTATACACTGTAAGAAAGAAATGACGCACTGCAGGCTCCCCAGAAGTAAGAGGGATCGATATTAATTTAGCATAATCTTTGCCATTTGCAGAGCTGGTGAGCACAATGCTAGTTTAATTAAATAAGGCCAATATTATCCAGTAAGAATGTAGTATAAAGGGTTCCAGTTCTCTATTTCAGCCTACCCTAATTGATGGCACCCCATTAGATAAGTGAATACAAAGGATTTGTTTGGGTTTGAGTTTTCTTTCAAATGCTGCAGTACTTAAGATTGTTAAATCAGCATTTCCATGTGATCTGAAGTATTCAATTACACATGAGCATTCATTTTGCAAAACTCAATATTAGGTAATAGTTACAGACTAATACAATAACATTCCTCTGCTGTACAAATTAAATCATATTTTAAAGAAATGAGCAGCCTAGGAGTTATATACAAAAGAAACCAGCAAGCATTGTTGAAATGAAATGCAAAATGTCACTGCTAGGTCTACTGTCTGAAATACCTTTAAAGTAAAATTAACAAAAACCCTTAGAACATATTTCCAAGTTTACAAGTCAAGTCTCAGAAAAATCAAATCATGTCAAAAAAAAAATTCTATAAAGCAGTGAAAGGCATATATACATTTTCCTTATGAACCTTGAGATTTCACTCTTTTAAAAGTTGCTAAGTTTCAGTATCAGTTTATTTGCAAGACAACTGTTTATCCCAATAAGCTCACATCTTAGATACATTTCCCCTTTGATTACAAATAAAGCACTGCACATTTTTTTTTTTTAATCAAGGCATATAATCTTATACTATGGTGCCAGGTATGCACAGGTCACATTGTGCTCATTATCTCAAACAAGGTAAGTGCAAACATACAGATTTGTTCAGATTTGCAAGCATGCAACCTGTTACTTAACTACATTAATACCTTCTCTCCTAAGCCAAACTAGTATCTATATGTTTGCTTTCACGAACCTAGAATCTCTCTTTTCAGGACTCCTAAAACAAGCAGTGTCTTTGAATTCTGAAATGACACAAATATCAAGAAAGTCCACATTGTGCAAGAAAGCAGCAGCTATGTTTCTCAACTTGGACTAAAAATGAAAAGAGAAAAACAAAAACCGTTCACTGAACAGCAGATTAGCAGTAATGTTCCTCATGAATCGATAAGAGTGCCTGATGCTGAATATCTAACAGCAAATGCTGAATTTGGGTTTAATATTTTAGAGGTTTATTGGAGATTAAGCTTCTTGCTGTGCTGGTCTCTTCAAATCCCTGATCTGTTTAACTAAATAGGTCTTCTCATCATTAAATTGTTCATCCTCGGTCCTGTCATTCTGAAACTTGCTGAGGAACTCAATAAGTTTGGTCTGGTTCTTTAGAAGGATGTCTAATATAGGCTGTGTCTTGTTAGGATTGGCTACAAACACCTGCAAGAAAATAAAAGGCATTGAGGAAAAACAGTGAGAAACAGAAGACTAAGTTAAAAACCAAAGCTATCCAACAAAATATCGATGATCTCAACTTAAAATTATTTTTTAATTATTCCAGTACCCTACAGAAAAAAATAATGGAGTAAATGCAAGTTTTAAAGTAAAATTACTCCTTTTTCCATCAGAACATAAGCTGAACACCAGCACCAAGTAAATTCAGTCTGTGGGAGGTGACCAACCACAATACCCTCTGCAGAAACCACTGAACCATGGTAAATTCTATAGCAAATGCATGGTTTCATATCATATATAGCATCAGATGGTATCTCACTGTTCACTACAAAGTTTTAGATCTCAAGTTATAACTCTCAGCTGCTTGTCTGCTGCAAAGTCAGAAGGCATCTGTTATAATGTGCAAATTAGGTAACCTGACTAAAATACTGCTGTTCTTCAGAGATCAGGCAGCATGATAAAAACACTTCTGAACTCCAGGGTGCTTCATGATTTTGTATGGAATTATGTATTCCTCCTCATCTTAACTGCACTTCACCCTTCTTAATTCCAAACTGTTCTAAGAGAGATTACAGGATGCTCCCAAGTAGTTTCTAAACAGTTTTCAAAAGGCACCACGATATCTCTTTGTAAAGATGGATCATAATAAAGGCAAACATCAGCACTCTCTTTAATCACTTAGCAGACATTAAGATAAGCTCCACTGAGGCTCAGCTAAGTAGTTTACTTAATTAAACAACTTCTGCTTGGATTCTTATGTTTTTGTTTCATGGTGGGGTTTTTAAACATACCTTAAACACATGGAAGGCCTCAAACTGAATGTTACGGCTCTTGTCTCGTAGAAGGTTCATCATTAGTTTGAGATTTTCAGGTTTACTGATGTATTTTGTCATAATTGTGAAGTTGTGTCTGTCCAATAACAATTCACCAAGAAGCTAAAGGCAGAAAACAAGCCCAGATGGAAAAATTACTAACAATGGACATAAGAATCAACTGTTTCATAAGTGCTTTCAAACACCCTGAGCAGCTGACACTGGGCTGTAAATACAGTAACAACAGAACTCCAGTGTCCCAAATTTCAAAGTGCAGGGTGCATTTTTCTCTTATTTCCATCATGCAGTTTCTTCTTCTTCTCAGAAAAGAGAAAAACCACCTTTGCTCTCCCCCTTGTTAGGAAATGGAAATGAAAGAACAGTCTTTCATTCTTTTTTCCCCATGACTTCATTACTTTTTTCATTTATACAGAAGCTATTCAGAACCAATAACAATGCCTTAAAAACCATCAACTAAAACTTAAACAGGTTAGTACTTCACATTCCTTTTGCTATGTTCTTTGTCCAAAAGGGATTAAAAGGATATTCCCCACAAGGATCACCTTTGCTACGAGTCCTGTATTACATTTACATTCACTATTGCTTACCCCCTTGAATGTAAGATTAGTATTGCTCTAGGCACATCTTGTGAATCTTTGTTTAAAAATTATTTAAATGTGTCCAGATTTGTCAAAGTGAAAACAAAACAACAAAAATAAAGATATTTGAAGAGCAATTTCTTCACAGGGAGAGAAATTACTTGAGTCTGTGCTGGACACTAAATAATGTTAGTTGATCCCAAGAATTTGTTGACCCCAAAAATTAACTAGTTGATCCCAAGAATTAACACATAAGAAAAATTAAAACAAACACTATTGAAGGCAGTTACATATGCCTTTTCAAATACAGTCAACTCATCCTGAAATTAAAGGCATTCTATAACTTTGCATTTAATAAGAAAATAAAATTGCCTTACCTTAAGTGACTGTCTCTTTGTCACATAGTTTTCTGAATGAAGTAATTTCTCATATTCACTGAAGAACTAAACACAGAATAAAGAGAAGGGTTAGGACTTTTCCAAGTGTCATAGCCACTCTTCTTCTAAGTTATTGTAACAAAGTGGAGGAGATGCCAATCCCTAACACAAACATAAAATGTGAAGTCTCAATAGGTTCCTGTAAGTCACTATTGTTAAACATTGTATATGCCTTTAAAAAATACATATTTACTCTTTAATGTTTAGATTTCAATGTGGTGGAAGTAGTTACCTCATTATTTCTTAAACTGTAACAGGAATAGGTTGCCCAGAGAAGCTGTGGCTGCCCCATCCCTGGAAGTGTTCAAGGCCAGGTTGGAGCAACCTGGTCTAGTGGAAGATGCCCTGCCAATGGCAGGGGGGTTTGGTGGAACCAGATGATCTTTAAGGCCATTCTGTGATAGCTCCTGGCACCTGACGCTGTTCCATAATTCCCGGACTCCCAGCAGCAGGGAGAGGGATATCCTGGATTCCTCGGTGTCAGGGGAAAGGCAAGGGCTCCCTCTAGCGAACAAATCAGGCCGAGCGCCCACAGAACAACATTCCCGCTGCCTTCTCCTCCTTTTATCCCTTTCTACATCCAACAACAGGGTCTTGATCTCAATTTTACTGTTTTGCAGAAATTAAAACCACCGATTTCTTCAAAAGAAGATATGCAGCACGAGAGAGTTCTAAATACTAAAACAGATCTGCTCACCCTATCGTAATGCTGCTCCAAAAATTCTGCACTTAACAACTTGTGTCTTGTAAGCAAATCCTGCAAAAAAGCACAAACCCAATATTTTAACTAAAATATTTATACAGTACATAGACATTCACATTAAACAGTGAGCACATGTATGACATTCAATACAAAATTCTGCTGTTTCATTAAATGAAGAGATTTAGGACATGAATGCAGTGACCTGGACACTGCTAAGGATCTTGGCATCACTTAGGAAAGATCTGTGATGTGTTACTTTAACTCACAGATAAATAGACTGGAATTATCACTGAAGAGTGCTATTTAGGGATCAAGGCTGTGCTCTGCACATAACTACACATAACCAAGGTTAAACCCCATTATTTAATATTGATGAATATTATGCTTACACTCTCATAACTCAACAGAAAATTTCCCCAGACAAAGCAACAGCATCAAATATACTCAGGTATACATATTATAACAGAATGAAATGGAGTTTGCTCAGTTGAGGAGTAGCAGGCACAGATTTAAAGCCTCTGGCATGGAAGGGCACATGTGTTCAGGTAATGCAGGATAGTTTACATCTTACTCTTTAAAACAAAATTCTGGGGAACATGGTACATATTTAAAGGCATGTCTTGCATTCTGAGAAATAAGGAAGAGCAGTGCCCAGCCCAGCATTTGCATCACACCTTATTTTTTTATCCCCTCTCCCAAGGTTTGTTTTGCCCAGGAATATATCCCACACAGCATCTGGGTTCACAAAGAGAACTATAGAAATAATAACTCCAAGGCTGCCAGTGAATTACCTTGAATGTGGCAAATGCATCAGAAGCGATGTCAAACGTTGACATTTCCACGTATCTGAAGAAATCGTAAAATTGTTCTGACCACAAGATTATTTTAGCAAGTGGTTCATGCCGGATGCATTCCCTAAGCATTATTCCACAATTTAGAGCAATTTCTGGAGATTCGTACCTATAAAATAAACCCAAAACAACCCAAAGACTTTTTATAAATACTTTCATAAATACTTTCACAAGTCAGCACTGCAACAGCACACTAATTACAGTTTTCAGTACTATCAAGTAAACGAAACCTCAAAAGTTAGAGGTACTTTTTTTCTGGGATTCAATTTTTAAATACTACTACAAAATATTACTGGAACAATTGTCCATTACTTGACAAATTACAACCAATTCAAATGAATTTCACAAATGGAGAAACAAGACTAAATAAATATATTTTCTTTGTTCTCAGAATCAGTTTTCTTGTTCCATATTGGTAGGACTGCAGACATCTGGAAAAACAGTAAGTTATTTCTGTCTTGAAATCTACTTGCTTAAACATGACAGCAATTTACATAAAATGATCCATCTAACTATGAAGAGTCAATCACACTGGACATAAATTCACATCTCCTCTTTCATTACACCACTTTTCAGCATCACTGGCTGTTCTACACATTGTGGGGTTCAAGCCTCTGGAGCAGTCACAGACTCTTATACACCTTCCTGCCTCCCACCCATTCCACTGCAAGGGAATTAAAATCCACCAGAATAATTCAGGAGCAAAGTACCATTGTGCATACTGAGCATTAACTATATTACCATACAAAAACATTGCCTTATAAAACCATTTTCACTTTGAAATCTACTGAACTTTTTGCAACTCATCCAATAGCGTAAATTTACATAAATCTGTCTCAGATGTAACCAGATGTAACATGTAAGCTGCTAAAGCTAAATGCCCATTTCAAACATCCTGACTTATGAATATGAGTTCCAATAATCCCTGTGGGAATAATGCTCTCTGAAGGGTGCCAACACAGACTAGAAGTGAGCAGGAATTTGTTACATCCCTCACTCAGTCACACAGCAATGAGAACATGCTGAGGAAGCAGTTTTCTCTCTCTGCACCTCAGATGGTGTTGCCTTCTTTTGTAAATTATTTTGAAGAAGTACTGAATCAGTAGTTTCTTTTGTCTTATGCCACAATTAATATTTTTGCCCCTCTAACATTTAAATCACGCTTTACCTCAAAATTAAGGCTGCAATGCAGGGGGAAAAACCCAAAGCAGGCACTCTGGCAGACAAGTGTAGATCTTACAGTCATATGGTTTGGTAACTGTAGAACTACTACTTCAAACAGCTGTACTTTTAAAATCATTTATTAATGTTTGATGAACTTTTCCATCCCAAAATAACACACCGGAATTGCAATTTTCAGAACTATCTTAATTAATGCTATTAAAATGTGAGCAATTCCTTTTGAAATTAAGAGAGTACATTTTCAATTTTAAAAAAAATCTTATTTTAATACAAAAATATTAACAACACCTGCTTTCATGTTTTGAGAACCACAGCTCTACATGCCCATATTCAATATGGCACTGCTCTTCAATAGCCAGTCCATCAGACAATATAAGAATATCCAGCACACCCAATAATACAAGAACAGAGGAAGAAACAGCCATCTGGCATGCTCAGTGTGCTCCAAATTATTTGTTTGGTTATATCTGAGTTGATGCGTTTGTGTCTCTACAGGAATATAAATCACTGTGAATAAAAAGTCTAAGACCTAACTAAGGCCAGGGGATAGGCCAGCAAACTAGAAATGACAGTGGTTAAAAGGAAAAAAACACCCCAGCCTTCAACTCTTGATAAGTTCACCAGGGAATAGTTTAAATAGGCTCAAATACTACACTGAAGGAAAACGTCTGACTACCCCAGTAAGAATATTTTAGATTACTAACAGTTCTCAACTTTCAGTTGTATTTCATGCAAAAGTAAATTGCTGGTGATTCATTACTCCAATTTTCCTTTACTTAGGGGAATTACAGACCCCAAGACCAAGAAAAAAATAAAATAAAAACCCCCAAGCCTATTGCAAAGGAAGAACAATCACGTCAGAACTCTCTGCTTCTCCACGAATTTAAAAACTCTTTTACTTCTAGTGAAAGCATATTTATGCTTCACAGTGCACGTACCCTTTTAATAGCATGAATAATATATTCTGTTGAGTGCAGATGTATTCGACTGTGGGAGTTCTTGTACCAATTTGTCTTCGGAGAATGTTGTTGAAAATTTGCGCCACATCTTTCTTGCCCTGTCAAAAACACTGGCAGTTAAACACACAATACTGAAGTTCACCAGGAAAGTCATCAATTGAACATTGCCATCACCTCATGCATTCCTACTGAGTTCTGCAGCTCACTCAGCCTCCATACTCTGATCTTAAACAGATAAATACTCTGTTTCTTTATGCCCCTTTCAAATACGCCAAAGCACTCAAAATATGACATCATGTTGCAGCCAGACCAGGGGTAATTTACATCAAGAAGTAAAGCCAGTTGATGTTTCATCAGATACTTCTATGTAGCATCAATCTTCTGGGCTTATTTTATACTTGGTTTTGCTAATAACACGGCAGTTTTTAAGTGTGCTCTTGCCTGAAAGTGTGTTTCTTCAATATTCCATTATCCTCTTCCCTTATTTAGGAGCACATAATGCCACCATTAAGAGTGTGCAGAGCATTTCCAACTTCAGTGTTAACATCCAAATTAGAACTATACCTTATGAGAATAAGTAAGTAAATAAAGAAAAAAGTAACACACAGGAATCATCCACTGACCTAAAATGCAAGTCTCACATTTTTCAGTGCATAAAAGAAGTATAAAAAAGACCAGGATGCTGGAATTCAGTACAGAGTATACAAACAAACAAACAAAAATTGACATCTAACAAAAAGCTGACTATAAATATAAGTACTGTTCACTGTCACTTGCATGCATCATTTAAAGCCGTATTTCTGCAATTAACTGTCCATTTTGGATGGATACAATGACACCTTCAGGATTATGTGTTATCAGATCTAACCCAGAAAAAGACTAGGCAAACTTCGACTAAGTTTGGACTTGAAAATAAAGGCCCATTAAGCAACTCCACCTAAAGGTTCCCTGAATGTTATAAACAAACCCCATAAGTATATAGTGCTTCTTGACAGGTCGAAATCTCCTGAGTAACATCAGTAAGCTTTTGAGTAAATGCAGGGCATATTTAACTAGCAGGAATTTTAAAAACAACAGCAATTATTTAAAATTATTTCCATTTTCTAATCAATGTCAAGCAGATTGCATAAGAAAAATTGCAATGTTTATGTTTATAAAAATGTAGGAGGACTGTAGTTTTACAAATGGCATGTTTGTGAATTCCCACCGACAGTTGTGTTGGAGTGTTGTTTTCAGGATATAAGAGATTGTTTGTAAACGCTGTTTTCTCAATTACAATTCCATTGAAAGCCAGCCCAAAGCAACACCAGAACTCTTTGTTCTGCAATGAGTAGAGCAGTGTTTCTAGAAATCGCTTCCCTCCAACTCCACATAATACAGTCATCAGCTATCACTCACTAACGTTGCCAGTTCTGCACTGGATCTCACAGTTTGCTTTGGACTCCCCAGCAAGAACAGCATTTCCTCATTATGCATATAATTGAGCTGCTGGTGGCACACAGCAATCCCAGAGGCAGCTCTTGTCACAGGGACATTGCTAAGTGACCTCATGGCCTAAGGCACCAAACCCTGTGCCAGCGGCCACGGCTGCGAGAGGTGAGAGGGACCCTGTGCCTGCCATGTCCTACCAGCAGAAGGATTCAGCCTCCCTTATGCAAGAGGCATTTTGGGGTTTGGCTTTTCTTCTTCCTTCCACAAGAGATACCATCTCTCCTACAGACACGCTAGTGCAGCTCAGCCAGGAGATAACTGGTAAGTTTGTAGATGGCTGGGTTGACGGCTTTACTTGGAAAACAGACTTCCAGAGAAGGGCATCATTTTAAACAGGCCTTTGCATACATACAGCAAAGGCTGGACAGTCGCAGATTGTTCATTAAAACATGACATTTGTTACTTTTCTAGTTTTTACATATTACTCTTCTGGGCTTTTTCACCATAACAATTCAGATTCAAATACATTTGAGACAGTTTAAGAGTCAGAGTGAACAGCCCCTGTCTATTAATTAGCTGTCTGTTCCTGTTCTACAAGGAAACCTTCTTCAGAAATTAGTGACGTTCTTGGGAGAAAAAAAAGTTTAATTTATCACTGAATGACCTCAGGTTGTGGTGGAAAGAAGGAAAAAATTCAAGACCTACTCTTGAAGTTTAAAAAACAACAGAAAATCAGACATATATTTCCATCAGTAATATGGAGAAACCATTCCAAATGCAGCAAACCCATAACCACAGAGATGTGGGATATCAGAGCCAACATCTCACTGACTCTGTGACAGCTGGAGCACATTTGGAGCACAGGTGTGTTGACATTAATTCCAGGTAACAACAACAGCTGGACAGTCTGCCAGATCCCATCCTTAAAAAGCAGACTAGGTCCAGCCTAGAAAGCAGCACGGATGACTTTTCTCTCTCAAGGGGGAACCGTCATATCCTCGTGTAACAAAGCAACAGAAGGTCCACAAGCAGGAAACGACTCACAAATCTTTTCAAGTCCCCTTGGAATAAAAAGCACAGTTCTCCCTAATGAGAGCAAGCCTGCACAAACTGTTATCATTCCTCATTACCAGGAGATAATGAAGGTTTCCTTTGCTCATAACTGGGCTGGGTAAACATCAAGCTGATACAAATCTAGAGGTCAGCAGAATCCAGATGATGTTTCATGATTTCCTTTCCTCAGCAATAAAAAGGCCATCGCATTTCAGCATTCCCTCTCAGCTTTCCCAGGTCTCCTTGCTTATTTAACAACTTGAATGTTTTATGTTTGGTATAAACAGTTGTGTGGATAGGGAAAAAATACCACTGTATTATAATTAAACACAACTCAGAGGGAGTTATGGGTGGGGTGGAGGGGAGAGAAGAAAGAACTGGGAAGAAAGCCATTGTTTTGGGAATGTCAAACTACAATAGGACTTTAAACTGTTGTGTTTGCATTGTGAGCAACTTGTTTATGAACAATCCTGTTTTTAAGCAACCTGAAGTGGGATGGTCTTCATGGTGGAGGCTGTGGAGTGAGATACATGGGGTTTGGCTCCTTTCCTAGACAACCACACACTTCTCGTGAGACCTCAGGGAAAACAGAAAAATCCAACTGTACTGCAGCTTCTTATATACAACTGAACAGGGTGATTCTTCACTGTGGCATGGGGAAGCTAAATTGTGCCACACGTGGTGTACTGACAAATGCCACAGAAGTTTGTAGAGAGATATGTTTTAATGTAAGTATTGATATTTCAAATTAAGCGATAAAAACTTGGGCTTGTTGTTTAATAAACACACAAAAAAAGATGAGAAAAATAGAAAAAAAAAGGTTGCATCACTTGTTTCTAAAAAGAGAGAGAAATACCAGACTGTTAATAAAACTGAAAGCCTTAATTTATAAATTCTCTTTTCCAAGTAATTTGATTTAACAAGATGATAATATAGATGTGCCTTGTAGTATTATGGTTTGTCACTATGGTATTACTGTTAAGAGATTAACTCTTCTGTTACACAACAATTAGGAATTATTCCATAATTTTAACAGAACTGTATCATTGGATTAGAGGTTTATCTGCTTCAAATTTGTGTTGCTTATGTGCCTAAATTAATGGATTTCATATTCTATAGTTGCTTCATTTTCTGTGCAGTTTGGAACAATGAGTTCTCTTTCTAATGGATTTGTCATAACCAGAAAATAAAAGCAGAAGACTGAATTGTATCTTAACCAGTTTAAGTGGTAGGAATTCAGATGTGTTTATTTTAACATACAGAATATAAGAAATGCCAAACCTGTTTTCTTACCTCAAAATCAATTAGCTGCAAATCAGCTACTAGGGTACTAAGAAGACCACTGTTGTACAGCTCCTGAGCAAGCTGTGCCACAGCTTCTGTTTGGGGTTCTTTCTCATTTGTGCCGTACAAGATTTCTTTCATGGCAACAAGGTTTTTTGAGACCTCCTCAGTGGCCTAAAGAAAATGGGAAAACAATAGAGTTAGAACACAATGCCATTTGTCTTTGTTACTGCACACTCCATTATTCTTAACATCTGCAAACTTCCACTAAGGGGGGGGGAGGAATAATCAGGAAATGACAACCTGCTAAAAAAAACAATAGATATTCTTTCTGCAAATAAGACTGTTATAAGAGTGGTCATTTAAAAAAAAAAACAAAAACAAAACACAAAGACTAGGGAAGACACACACAATTTAACAAGTTGCTACAAATAAAATCTCTTCCTTTTTACCACCCATCAACTTCCCATTCAAAAATCCCCTAAAGAACAGCAATGGGATGAAAAGAACCCGACAGAATTTCCATTCTGTAAAACAGAGTTACACACAGTCAGACTGGAAAACGTGACATGGAGACTCGTGTCTGTCCCCAGTGAACTGCTCAGAGAGACCAAGTGCATCCCTCCTACAGATTCTGCCCTCATCAGGTATTGTCAAATACTGGGCTCCCATTCAACTTAGTGCAGGTGACATTTTTCCTTTCCAGCAAACAAAACCTCAGGGAGAACCTACTTTAGTTTTCAGGTTGTCTCAGCATAAAAGAACAAAACCAGCAAACAGCCCCCTTTGTATCGCCTCAAAAGGGCATGGCCATACAGGAGACAATTAAAGGTCTCAAATCCTTCCCCATTTCAAGTCCCTCTTACAGAACACAGACAGGTCTGACCTCTCACTTAGGAAAGCCAGGGTGAGGAGTTCCTAAGTTGCCATGATGAGCTGGAGCAGCATTTAGCAGTGGAAACACAGTTAATCTCATGAGTAAAACCAACAAAACAATAAATCAACAAGAACACTTCTAAACACCCACTTCTGAATCTTAAAGCACAATTATCTTGGACCAAAAAAAAAAAAAAAAAAGAACCACTCCTTTCAATATATATGTTTACTTAGCTTGGGGGTAAAATGCTGGAAATGATCATCCTAAATAGGTGGTTTAATTATAGTGTATTAGTTCTTCACGTGCCTAAAAAGTCTGAATGGCTTGTAAGAGACTGATTTTCAGTAATTAGATGAACCTGTCAACAAAGTATGCATACACTTTAATGTAAAGTATTCATGATTGATAGCTCGGGGAAAATTAATGAAGTGAAAAAATGATGACTTTCTGGATATTGCCAGTCTTCCAAAGGATTATGTCAGAAGATTTCTCATTTGTGCTTTTTATCTGGAGAGGCTTTAAGATCAGCATGACCCATGCACTATTCAAGCCAGAGCCATTCCAGCTTTGCTAGGTAAGCACATAAGGATTCCATGACCTTTAAGGAGGCTCCATATCATCTTCAGCTCCTCCACAACTTTCCACTCCCTGCTGCCTCCCTCTTCTTGCTAACTGCAGTTCCCAGTCCCGGTTGTCTCCTCCTCAATCGAAATTCCAAAGGATTTTCTGTGCACTTGTTGGTAAGACAGTAAGAAGCAGGTGCTCAGTAAGTCTGCTTAGATTCATGACAGCTCCTGAAGACACGAAATGGGAAAGCCAGCTCACCATACTGTAGCAGTATTACACCACACACGTGTTCTATTTCTCTAAAATTCAGAAGAAATGCCTTTTTTCTGGGAAAAGAATAGGAACATCTGTCAAACATGGAGATAAGAAGAGCTGTCTTCGATGCATGGCTACCAAAAAAAGAAGAAGCAGTAATAAAACCTCTACTGCAGTTTGTCCCTGCACACTAATGTAGGAAGCAAGATGAAAGAGGAAGAAAGGCAGAAGTCCAAGTAACTACCCATTTTAAGTAAGATGATTGTATTGAGGAAATGCTTGTAATTAAGAACAATGCTAGTGGAGAATTTTTCATCCTAAAACCCCAGGAAACAGAAGAAGCCTCCCCAAACCCAAAACTGTTAATCCCACTTGAGGGCTGTCACTCACCACCAGCCCAAGAAAGACACTAGTGATGGAAATGCTTACAAACCAGGAAGAAAACACTGTAGTGTTTCCCAACACTGAGGGCTTTAACAAAAAAAGGGGGGGGAAAAAGCAAAAAAAAAGCAGCAGCTTTCTAGCCTAGTGTAAACATACAATTTGGTAACTTAAAGAATAGACAGTAGGACTTAAATGCTCTTCACAATTGTCAAAACCATCCAAATATCCTTCACTTGAACTTGGAACAACATGAAGCTTTAGTGGGAAGTAATGGCCTAGAGACACAGAATCACAGAATCATTTAGGTTGGAAAAGACCCTTAAGATCAAGTCCAATCATTATCTGAGCCCTGCCAAGTCCACCACTAAACCATGCCCCTAACATGGAACAGCTTAGCTGGAAGGTCCCTCAGGAGGTCATCAGGGACCAACCACCTGCTCCAGGCAGGGCCAGCCCTGCTCTGAACAGCTCCACGGATGGACACTGCAGCCTGGACCAGTGTCTGACCACCTCCATCACGAAGAGTCTTGCTGGCATCACTTCAGCTAAGGCCAAGCTACCATTTCTGGATACATTCTGCAAATACAGAAATAGGAGGTTTCTGAAACTATTATATCAATAACCAAGGTCTTCTGGTGCACTACAATCTCATAAAATGTTACATCTCTATACTTCCTTCTCTTCTACTCAAAAACTCAACATCAAAAAGAAGATAAATAAACTCCTACAAACTTCTAGAATCTCTCTTCCATATTCCATGAACTCTCAAACATATCCCAAACACAAGATGTGCAGGCCTATTTTTGCCCTTTCAGATGGAGAATGAAATGTGGATTGCTACATTGAAAAATATAAAGCTACATTAAATAGCAATGTTAAGAGCCAAGCAAAAAAATAGTATTAAAAAAAAATCAAGAAAGATAAAGCTGGGTAGCATTACTTGCATGATTTACCTAAGGTACTGAGACCTACATAATTTCCTAATGCGCTGCTTTCTTTTAACAGGAAAAGTCTCTAGAGGACGATCAAAATACACAATGAAGTTAATCCAAAAACCCATGGTCAAAAGTAGAATTAACAATCAGACACCATATATAAAAAATAAATAAAATGTATCCCAATACTATATATAAGCAGGGTATATTTTATATATACTGAATAGTTATTTTATATTTATATCTATTAAAAATAGATATAAAAATAGTATCTAACTGTATATATTTTATATATTAAAATTTATATTTTATAGGTATTAACATTTATTTATATGTATGCTCTCAACACTAAGAAGGAGCAATCAGCATTTTAGAGAAAAATTCTGTGGCAAGTCACGTTTGAAATTTAACGGTGCCAGACAACACCATCCGAGGACAAGTCAAACTATGAAAGTTAAATGTAAAGCAAGGGAAATAAGGAAAGTACTTACTTCCCTATTTTTATCAAAGATAAGAAGATACTTAAAAATAAATGCAGACACCATGAAGGCACACATATCACTGTTACACAAGAACAGATCCATGTCTTTATACCTATGAACTGCTATGGTTTATGGTGTCTGGAACTATAAGTGAAATACTCTAAAATTCGTTATTTCCTTAAAGAGTAAGCCATGCAAATACCAAATACTTCATTTAGAATTGTACAGCTGGAGTATTCAGGGTTTATAAACAGTAGAAAAAGAACACATGGTCAGTCCCAAAATATTTCCAATGAGCTTGACAGGCTCCAGGCCTATGCAACCCCTGCGGCTGGGGGTTCTATACACATGGATAATGCAGTTATAGCAACTGCACTATTAATGAAAACATCCATCAAAAAGATAAACCAGATATAGCTTTGAGCCTACAGTTGGTGAATATTTTTACTAGTCTAGAGTAGTATCTATCATAAGTAACAAATATAATTTTTTAATGATTCTATTTAAAATTGGCTGGATTTCAGAATGTTTACAAAAACATACAATTTTGTAAATAGATGACTGCCTACATCAGTACAGTGTGCACACTGATTGTGTGATTTTTCAGAAGCTATTTAGCACAAAGAGCCCAGTTCAATTAGAAAAGCAACACATCTTCTCACCTTACTTCCAGAAGAAGCCTCATCTTTACTCTTTGAGTAACAGCCCCACACCACAGGCCAGGCAGATCACTTAACTTTCAGCCTTCTTTCAGCCATGGGTTAATGGTACACACGTGCACAGCAAAGTTAAAGTTTGACTGCTTCGTAAATGGCAGCTGTTAACTCATGGAATGAAACCTTGTGTAAGTTACACTGGGGAGCTGAGTGCAAGCAGCACGTGGTGCAGCCCCACACATGGTGTGTGCCCACCCTACAGAGCTGGGGATGTGAACAAGAGAGGCCAACCGTGCCTGCAATGGCAAGAGCTGCTCTGGGCAGGTTAACCCAAGGTCGGAGGATAGGGAAGAACGAGTTTATTACATGAGTAAATATTTACCTTCACGACAGTACACATGTGCCACAAACCAGGCTAACTGGTAGTGTAAACATAAATGCTGATGTCAGCCAAAGAGGGGGAAGAGATGCAAATCAAGACTAACTAATGGGCTGGGTCAAAGGTAGGTCCCACTTACATGAAAGGAATTTTCCTTTCCCTTCCCTTTAGCCCCCCTTTCTGAGAGAACACAAGTCCTGGAGAACGAACAGCATAGGGGATGAACACATTTTCAGTTATAAAGCACTCAACATCTCATTTCCCTTTGAAAATGCTAACAGACAGCAAGCTGTCCCCTCTATCTAGCACAGGGCTGCAGCCAGCCAGCCCCAGAGCTGTGGTACACGGGGCAGCCCCTCAGCAACGAGCCACAGTCCAGCCTGGGCAGCCACTTCAGATTGCAGCTCCTGAGAAAGTACCACACACTCCAAGGGCATTTCAAAATGACCCAGAGAACTACATGGTTAATTTTTCTCCAGTTTTCACATAGCTCAAAAAATGGGTAGATTACCATGTAAAGTAGAATTCACTTGAATTTCACATTTTCAGTTACAGTACTTTTTTTTCCAGTACTGCAGAGCAGAATGTTTCTGTGAACAAGAGGCATCATGACCCCTACTGTTTTACACCTTTTGTTTTGAAGAATATCTTCCATGTGGATTACAAAGAATGTACAGGAACACACACTGTCCGAACTTTAAAAATCTTTATTATCTCCTTTGCTTTTTCCTCCTGTCACAAAATATTAAAGGTTTTAAATTTCAGCCTAAGCACTGAAAAAAACGGAGCAATTCTGTTCAAGCATACTTAATTACACTTGTTTCTAGGGAAAATTATTTGTCTAATTTTCTTACAAATCTGTATTGCCAAATGTGTTATGAAACTAAGAACATCCTCTACATAGCAAATTCAGTATTTTAATTCTAAGAAACAAAGCAGTGTGGGAAAAGTAGGTATTCCCTGATAAAAGCTTGTCTTTACCATAAGGAGTAATCAACAGTGAGTATGTACCAGGCTGCTTAGCACTGAAATTTTGTTGTTGATATGTGACAGGCTACAAAAGCACACCCCTGGATCAGAGACCATGAAGAAGAAATTACTGAGAGGGAGACCATATTTTATACAAGTCTAATCACTAATAAAATGAAGTCATTAAAAAAGAAAAACTCTGGCATCCTTCTTCCCTTTTAGTAAAAGGCAGTAATTTTTGTGCTTTACGTGCAGTGAGTCTTTCTATTTCTGTTACAGTACTATCTACAGAACTCACCCTTTCATCAGCACAGAATTCTTCTCCAAAAGAGGCTGAAAAGTTACATTACAGAAAGGATCATCATAATAAAAGGGATAATGAAAGATAAAAAGATGCCTAAATACTGAGATATGGGCACAAAGAAAATCTTTGTTCTTTTCTAATAATGGCTGCTGCTCAGACCCCTGCTGTCTTTTAACTCCAAAGTCACTCCAGTCATTTCAACAGACTGGACAGGAAGAGGACACAAATTCAGCGTGTTTGATCAGAGCTGTGCCCTCAAAGATTTGATGACTGATCTGTAAGATATTGAAGACCTTTCTCTACCACACCAGTAAACCATCCGAGATAAACAGTCACAGCCAGAGGTACCTTCCTGAAGTTTTGGCTTGCCAAGGAACAACTATTTCCTGAAGAATCTCTATATGGAGGCGTTGACATTGGTGTTGTGCATGTTTGGATCCATCAGCTGCTCTCCTTTGTGAATAATGGATGACAGGGAACAGCAGCACCACACCCAGGCTCAGTCTCCTGAATGCCAGGATTTAACCCTCCTCTCAGTTAACCTGGTGAGCGTGGCTACCTTCTCCACTCCTTCAAGCAGCATGTGTCGCTCTCTGCATGACACAAGAGACCACTCTACAGGATCAGTGCATTGTTTCTTGTCCAAGCAGCAGCCTCACAGGTCTCTGAGCAGGATGGAGGTGTGGGACTGAAGGCCAGCAAGAGGAAATGGTACGTAATAACCTTCAGCTACAGCACCAAGACCACAGGCATGTGCTGCAGTGCACAGCCTTCCACAGTGGGATGTCCCCCATTAGAGGTCTAAGCACCAAGAGATGCCACAAAAGAGCACGGATTTTAAGATCAAGCCCATCTCCAGAAATTAATAATGAGGTCAAGATGAAGGGGGTAGTGCCATGTCTCATCACAGACTCTTCAGAAGACACCTTCCCCTCCTCTCCTGACAGATGTCTCTTTTAGTAAAAGAAGAAAAGCCTTCACACAGGCCTGCATAACACACCGTAATATTTTTCTCTCCAGCAAGAGAGAAAACGTGTCAAGGAAAAATGCTGTGGTACACTGCAAGACACCTGGAACATAACACATGCTGGCAGTGGGGTAGAAGATGCTGATTTTTAAAGAATTTGGGATAAAGACGGCAATTTAATTAAGACCCAGATTCTCCTGTACTTAAACATAGCAGTGTCAAATGTAGGTGAAACTGAACATAGAGGAACTGGCCACATTCTGCTTAAAATACTACTGAACACGAAAAGATTGTGACTAACTCCTACACAGCACTGTGGATAACAAGAATGGCACAGACTAGTTAAATAATGCTGGGAGAGGATCCAAGGAGAGTATCACAGCCTGCTTCAAAAGCTGGTATACCGGAGAGGGAGATGTTTTGTTTGGGTTTTTTTGGTTTGTTGGGGTTTTTTAAGTATTCAAACCTATGACCTTGTGCTGAGTTTATCAGGAAAAACTTCATCTAAACAGTGAATACCTCTGTCACACAAGTCACTAGGGGGGATGCAGCTGCACACAGGCTGAACTTTAAGATCATTTTCAGTCAAGTTATCAAGACTACCAGTTGAGAAGGAAGTGACCGTCGACAGGCAGAGATCCTGAAGTAGCAACACATCCATCTAAAGGAAGCTGCACTAGCACAGGAACTTTTCACTACATCTTCCTGTGGGCTGAAGAAAACGCAGGAAAGTCAAAGTATATTCTCTGCTGATATCCATCGAGACACAAAGTTCTTTGGCTCCAGTAGGAGACACTCTGCCTGTGAAAATTTGCATGGACAAGCAGAGACAGAACTACTGTGCAGTAGTAAAGGCTCTCCAGTGGTCACAAGCACCAGAACACCCTGGAGCTGTGAGCTGCTTCCTAAAGAATGCAATGTCCTACAGTCCCAAACCAAATTATTTTAAGTAGTATTATCAGCTGCCAGCGGCATAAAAATGCAAAGCCAACCAACGTGAAACACACCTGTTCAAAGGCACATAACTTACCCTTTATCAGGCTACAAAACCCCAAAATAATTCCTAATTGATTCTGTTTCCACAGCTGTAAATTCCACCCCCCTCCCCACCCCTTTCAAATACTGTTTAGCAACTGGAAAGTCACAACTGTACCTTTTCTGCCTTTTTGTCAGAGATATCTTGTTTTTCGAGAACTGCCATACTTTCCTTCAGGTTCTTCACTATGTCTGCAGGAGACTTGTGGGACTTGCCAAAGGGGAATGGCATGATTGCAAACCACACGGTCTTCCTCCTACAGCTCCTGCTTCACCTGGAAAAGGAGGAGAAAAAAGGCACGTCAGAAATGAACAGGTGGACTAGAGCTTGCCACGACAAACTTAAATTCTTGTATTTCTAATTCTTTTAAAACATAAGATACAGAATCTAAGAGTTCACATTAAGATCATCATCTTACGCTTCAGGAACAAATTAAAGAGCACATTAATTATGTCCAAAGCCACGCACTGTACAGATGCCACATTTGGGCAAGACTAACCAGGATGAATTATTCCAATTAATGCTGTCAAGCAAAATGCCTTCCTAACATGAGGTCTCTGACACACAGGTCACCATGTCTCAGTGGTTCTGCAGAGACTGTCCAGGTTATGTGCTTTCATCCAGATTCATTCCATAACAAACCCAAAGCAGACCCCAAAGCCTGCACCTCAGTGCAGGACCTACAAGCACAATGCAGACAAGGCTACAGCAGCTTATTCCTATGTCAAGACACTTGGCATGTCCTGGAATTTTCATATCAATACTACTGTAATTTCATACTGAAACACAGTCTCACCCTCACTCATTTTATGGGAGATACAACTTGTCACCAATAACAGCGTGACAAATGCGACACGGATGTAAACACTTGTAAAACCAACATCTGATATGTATCTTTTTCAAAAAATAATGCATGTCTTACGGGAGAAACTTTCCTTCCCTGAAAATATTTGGCTCTTGAATCCAAATACATTTATTCTTCTGTATATTTACACATATTTGCTTTTGCACACACATACATATATTTGCTTCTTTGTACAAAACAGAAGACTATTACTAGAATAAATGAGTGCACTAGATCTTTTGTTACTAAAGACATACACCCACATCTAAACAATAATAAAACCTTCTTGTAAGTGAACTCCATAAAGCACACTTCTACAACTCTCTAATCTAGACAGAAAAGAACAGGAAACTATATTAAAAATGCTGATAGTGCTACTTCTGCTAGACACAAAAGACAGCTGGAGCTGGCAGAGCAGAGACTGCACTGTCATTCCAAAGAAGGGACACTGCCCTGAAAGTTTAATTTCTACCTCCCTACAATGTCCACGTACTTGGTAACAAGTCAACTATAACCAGTACTTGTATCAGTACTTTGCTCCTGGATTAAAATATCAGCTCATCCACCATGAACTCCAAGATGTTACTCCTGATCTTACTCAACAGCGTTTTGATCAAGGATTAAAAATACCAATCTAATACTATTTTTTAGTTACTCTGATTTTTAAAGCAAACAAGTTGGGCTGGCCCAAAGGGCAACGATTTAAAGGGGAAGAAAAGAAGCACTCGGATCTTTAACCAAGTAAATTTCCATAAACAGGGATTTCAGGTAAGCAGCTACAGAGATCATCCCTCACTGTTCCATGCCTGCAGCTGACTCCACACAGCTCATAAAAAGCATAAGGTAGGTAGTTTTTTTAATTAATTACTTTCAGATAAAAGTATCAGCAGGAAAGTTGAAACAAGACTTTCCACCAGCCATTTCCATTCTTTAACAGATCACAAGGACCTTCCGTTGCATTTATTGTGCAGTATAATATCTGTGTCATTATAGTATCTCTCATTCACAATTTGCACAAAAAAAGGGGCTGTAACACCGAAATTACAAGCACAGGACTGGTACCCTAAGAATAGAGAGCCCCCAGGTTATTCCTTAGACAAGAGAATTTTATGCCTAAAACTTCATCACATCCAGTGGAACCAAAACCTACATCTAAGAAAAGCACCACTACTTACTGTTATTTAACAAAAAATTTAATGGCATTTCAAACAATATTTAAAGAAAATTTCACGGGATTTTTTTTTCCCCTATAAAGAGACAGGTGTGAAAATAAGCACAATTTCCCTACAACATGGAGACATACCTCGATCATCACAGCAACATTTTAAATGTTCCCTTTATCTCTCCCTTTGATTACCACTCCTGCCAAATGAAGATGAGCCCTGAAAACAAATCTGAATTCTTTCACGCTTGCATATCATCACTGATAATAACAGTGTTTAACAACTACTCTGCATATCCATCCTGGAAGATGGTTATACCCACATAACAGAGCAGGACTGGCTCAAAAAATTGCTAGTCTTAATTTTTGGCTTGTGTTTCAAAACAGAATCAAAACCAGCAGGAATCAGAACAGATGAGAGAACAAAAACACTATATGGAATCACAAAATCTGGTATTACAGCAATATACAAAGAAAATAAACCAATAAAATGGCTCTGCACACTCATTTTCTGGAGCAGAACTATGCTACTCCTAAACTAAAAGACTACATGGACAACACAACCAACCTGTGGAAATACAGAATAAAGACAAACAGCTGTCCTCCTGGTGTGCCCAGGATCTAGGTTTGCAAAACTTGCTTTGCCTCCATGCAGTGCTCAAATTAAAAACAGTCTACAGTTTTGCCTTATTCATAAAACCTTACAGGTTCTGCATAAATCAGATGCACACACAAGTCGTACACAAATTTCATTGTAGGTACTAGCACATCTCATAAAAGATAATCAATTAATAGCAGTTCACTAGCATCTAGTTATACTAAATGTTTTTTCCCTGGATGAATTTCTCATAAACAATTTGGAAAAATCAGGAAAGACTGTCGGCACCATTAAGAAGGAAATCCACACCCTTGACTACTGAAGGTGACATTTTGCTTCAAGGTATTTCATTTATTATATAAAATGGAATAAATACACTGTTTATGCCATTTCAGTTTTATTACTGGTAGGAACGCAGTGGCACTGCCAGGAACATCATCTGGGGCCTCAAGACTGAAGAGCCCACTAATCCTGAAGCAAAATTCTGTTACTGAAGAACCTGTGCCACATCCTGCCAAAAAAAAAAAAGAAGAAAAAAAAGCAGGAGCAGCCCTTTGTCTCTCAAAGCTGTACTTCATGCAGGAGAACATAGACAGGCTGTTCCTTTTTCAGCCCAGCAAAACTACCCCCAGCAGCACCCTGTGTGTGCACAATAGACAATGACAACATCTGTGTGAGACTGGAAAGAGCTGCCACCACCCACATCTGCAACATGAGAAAAAAGGGGAACAACATCAAGTGACATTTTCTGTAAATAAGAACAGGCCTTACATCATGTCAAATGATAACTGATTCACAATACCAGCACCTGGCTGCCTTGCAAACCCTGGATAAAAACACGGACTGTGGCTAAAGAAAGGGATCGCAGGACTCTCAAGAAGTTGAATTGCAACAAGTACATGGGCAGCTCTGTGCTCTGCTGGGCTGCTTGGCTTTCTCTTCCCTCCCCAGAAACCTCACTTTTATCCATTTGTTAAAAGAGACCATGAACAGCATCGTACAAACCTCCAGCTTTCTCAGGCAGGCATTTTATTTCACCAATATTCAAGCAGGCCAAACCTACCAAGATGTGAGGTCCTCAAAGCACCGGGGTCACAGCCACATTTAGAAATCTTGAATGACGTTCTCAATCCAAAGGGACCGTTAAACAACAACGTGGCATTCAGCCAAACACCCAGAGATTTGACTTCCACTGACACACACTCAGGCACACTGGGACATTTGGGCTTTTGTGATAAGCGGAGATAGTAACCCCTCTGTTTCAGATAGTATATAACTTCCAGCTCTGTCAATGCAGCCTGCATCCCTGCAGTTTGCTTTATGTGTAAGGCTTTGTATTGTTTTATTCACTGCATTGACCACACAATCAATGAATGTCCAATTTAAATCTACTACATTCCATATATAAGATTGGTTTTTTTTAACTAGGCAGAACGCTTAAAAGCATTTCTCTGCGAGGACAACCCTCTTGCAGGAAAAAAAAAATCACAAGAACAAATACAGAAGCAAGATAAACAAATTCCTTTCCTTTAATTAATTTAATTCTCCAAAGAAAAGGCACACCAGCCTGGAATATGGCCTCTCATGTAACTTCACTTTTTCTTATTCAAAGGTACAGAAAACGTGCCACCTCTATACCAGAAATGTGTGTTACGGTTTAAAAACTGATTGCTGAACAGCAGCAGGGTGTTTCTGTTGTAGGCAGTATGTTTTTGTTATTGCAAGCTCCCTGCATTACTATTTTCAGAACAATGCTGGTACGAGAAATAGTACAGTGACACTCCTGACTGCAGTGAAATGTGCAGTTACTCCACAGACAAATTAATTACCAGCACTGAAGTCTCACCAAGACAGGCTTTTAAAGCTATGTTGAAAGCAAAGGAAGACAAGCAGCACAAGCAAAGGCACAAAAGCAAACCTAACCCTTCTACTTAAGACATACCATGAATTTACCACAACATAAAAAAGTATTCAACTTTTTTTCTCTGCATAAATAAAGCACCATTTAAGTATCTAGCACTATTCCAGCCCAGAAGAGCAAACAGCCACCTTTCCCCCATGTAAAATGCTACTTAAATAATGTACAAACCCCAATTTTGTGAAACAAAGAAGTGCAGTAAACTCAATTCCTTATTCTACCCTAGGCCTCACAGTGTTAATTGCATTGTATTAAGTCCTCTTACTGCCTTGTTTACACACCAAGAGTTTAAGGTGACTGCTTTTAGCCAGCTCCTAAGGAGGAAAAGAGGAAAAAACCCTTCAGCTATTTCCTGGTTGCAACTACGCATGTTAAACAAAACCCAAGCCTAGTGAAAAACCACGTGGTAGCATCCAGTTAATGTGCACATAAGGAGATAAGCTGAAGATCACACAAAACCAACATAATTTTTTAATAAGGCCAAATAACTAAGAGTGAGGTATTCCCCAAGACACATGAGCCAACCCAAGAGCTGGCACCACTGATGGGGGATGGCCCATTCCTCCCCTGCTCCCAGTACCATCTCCTTCCCCCCACTTTCATGCTCGGCTCAGCTGAGCCATCCATGAGCTGAGCCACTCACTGAGTGACCAGAAAACCAACCTGTACAAGGAAAGTAGAGAATACATCCCTTTGACCAGCATAGTAGCCGTGAATGAGCTCCCTCAGCTCATGATCACCCCATGGTAAGG